AAAAAAAAAAAAAAGTGGGTTGAAAAAATAAAATGAAACTTTCACAAAAATTTATAAGATGTTGCATAAACACTTTTGTTGGCCGAATATGAAGCATGTGGCAGATAGATTTATCGATGATGCAAAGCATGCTGTTGACTTATTCTTTAAGAAAGTAGTTTATGGATTTAATACAGTTCATTTGCTTCCTATTCCTACTAATTTCCTTCTAATATTTTTGTGAGTGAAGCATGCAGATTTGATCAAATCATTTCAAAAGGAGGTGATGATTTTTTCTGATTCGAGGACGAATCTTGTGGAAGATGATAAGAATCACGATGTTCCAAATAGACCTATTGCCAAGAAGATTCAAAAAAATGTCATGAAGATTCAAAAAAAGATGTCAACAACAGAATTCAAACCTACGTGCGAAGAGCTCAATTGATTTCAAACTTGTCGCATTAGCCACTCAAACACATCAACATTTGTTAGAAAAAAACTATATTTAATTTCATAAATTATGTAAAAGTCAAATGGTCAATTTTGACTTATTCTTTGTGGAGATTAAAGGGGATCGGGAATAAATCCTTGTCGGGAGACTATAAATACCCACAATATGTGATGTAAAATTCAGATTCGTGGATGAATGTAATTCAGATCTCAAATTGAGACGTTTTCCTTAGAAATCCGAGCATCATATTTGTCATTTCTAAGTTTCAAGCAATTCTTGTGGTAGAATTGCACCCGAGCCATTCAATCAAACCTTGATCAAGTTAGATTGTGGAGTGACTCGATTTAGAACAAGGTTTCCAAATCTTGCTTCTAGATCTCCAATCGTAAGAGGTAATCTAATTCTAGCCTTATCTCTTGGTTGATCCAAATTTCGTATAAGAAGGTGTTAATTACTTTAATTCAAAGGTTCTTGCTTCAACAAAAGCTTGGATCGTTGGGCTGAGGATTAGGGTTCCCTTATCAGAAGACCTCATTTAAATTCCATAAAACATCACCTTTATCTTAAAACACAACCATGGACTTACGTGTGTCGAAAACATCTTTAAAACGACACAACAAAAGAGTAAATAAAATGAATAAGAGTTTCATCCTATTCTAGCCAAAGTCTAAGAAAATAAATATCACTATTCTTTTCATGTGTCATGGTTTCGAGTTGCGATGCCGTTGTCAGCCGTACAGGAATGCCTTGCCTTAACCTGAAAAATGGAGTAGCACATGGCTTGATTATTTAAATAAATACTCAGTAAGTGACCCCACTATTGGGGTTAAATGCAACAATCACATGCAATGAGATTATGAGACCTATCTTTCATTCCGTTTTTCCTACGGTGCTGTCCTAACGGGTAATTTTGGACGTGTACCATATACTCTATACGCTGCACATACGTGCGAGTATGGGCTCACCAGCTAGTTCGCACACCGCTGGGCCACTTCCTTATCCGGTGAGCATATTTTGTGATATGAACCAAAACACATCAATCATACAATGTACTTTAATGAAGATGTGAAGAAAAGGTTGTCAAAATTATCAAAAGATGTTTCAATTCACGCCACATTGAAGAAGAATGAAGTTTGATTGTTATAAATTTTTGGTGGGTTCAAAAGATGTTTCAATTCACGCCACATTGAAGAAGAATGAAGTTTGATTGTTATAAATTTTTGGTGGGTTACAATTTAAGACATTTTATTTACTTTAGGTTACATATACATAATGGCTAATTATGGTCATTAAGTATGAATGTTACAACTCTTGGAATGTCTTTAATAGTTTCATTTGTAAGGCAAACTTCAAAAAATATAGTAAAATGAGCATTTGTGCTCTCTTTAGCCAATGACTAAGTTTCTTTGCAATTCTATGTAGTTTAGGTTGCATGTAGAATCATTCAAGCTCGACATGATCAATCTTGCTTGTGGAGTGATTCGAATCTCAAGCAAGTGTTCTTGCCTTGAGATATTTGATCAACAAGGTAATCTGAATCTTACTCCCCTTGTAGTGATTCCTTATCTTATCACTCTGAGAGCCCCTTAGGCCGGACACCCGCTAGAACTAGTAACCGTCACGGCAGCGCTATACAAAGCATAACGATCGTTGTCCTGCCATTGGATGTAGGCGTCCGTACCCTCGTGATGGGATAGGGGTATCCCCCCAAATGCATGAGCACACATAATGCATGAGGTCCCAAAACTTTTCCATTTTCATTATCCTTTAATACAACCCCGCTAGCATTATGTACATATCATATCATTTTTCATATTGTTTCAAATATCGTTCATCATTCATATCATATCATTTCTCATTCTTCAGTTCTCAAATCATACATAATTCTAAAGGGGTTATATTTCATGCCATTTATCGTAATTTCATGTCATTCATATCATGCTGTATACACACAATTTAAGAGACCTAACATAACGTTCTATACTTTTAACATAACATTACATCATATATACATCATACCATGACATATTGCATCACAATGTATCATATCATAAACAAGTCATAACGTAAACACTTTGTAGTTATATCGTTCTCTAACTTATCATAGCCTCAACGTTCTTATACCTATCACAGACATATCATTACGTTAACGTAACTTAGTCATATCATCACAAGAACTTAACCTAACGATATCGTTCTATCAATCTTAACGCTAACGTTCTATCAATCCTAACGTTAATGTTCTATCAATCTATCACAAACCTATCCCTTTCTACCCGTAACCTAACCGTATTCTTCCATCAATCTCTCTTATCCATAACCCTCCAGTATGTAACCTAACCTTAACGTTTCCTGAACGTATTTTACTCCTATCATTACATTTCGTTTTGTGCATCCTTCTTGTATCCTATCTCAAACATATCCTTGAACACATCATACCGTAATTATTATCATACAATTCACATATTATAACCTATACATAACATATAGGAAGCATATCGATCCACAGACAACTCACACATATCAATATATATGACACGTGCAGAACCACAGGGCACGTGCCAACATCAAATATAACCATGTCGATAGTAAGGTCACTTACTTGGCTAGCTTAAGTTGTTGTAACGAATATATCTTTAATGAAAGTTTGATTCTGTCATTTGAAATCCGAGTCAACCTATATGAGCCCATGACATTAGTTTCAGGTTTGAACTCTACAACATTATTTCTCTAATTTACATTGGTCCATTGTTAAAAGTCTTGAAATGTTATATATCTATAATTATATTTTTATTAAAAATCTTATTTTTCATGGTTACTTTGTATAAGAAAGTAGATACAGTTATTTCAAGTTATTCTGAGTTTTACTACTCTCTATATTTACCCTCTGTGTTTACCTTTCCCTCTATATTTAGTTTGTGGTTTTTAATTCCTTAATCTTCTTTTTTTTTTTTTTTATCTGTTGCCTTTTAATTCTATTCTCATTCATTCCAAATTTCTAGTGTTTCTCTATTTCTAAATCTTTCCTCATCTCAGTGTTTCCTATTCAAAAGTTTTCTTGGCCATTCTATCTTTAATCTATTCATTTAGCTACTGATAAAAATTTAATCTAATATTACTAATCTGACGTGATTTACTAGAATCATATAAATTATTGACATTTAGTTTCTAACTCAAAGCTAGACCATTGTAATAATTCTTGGTTGTGATTTCTAAAAAAAAATAAAAGAAAATGAAGATTTAATATATAGATCAAATCTATCTTCAGGTAAATCTCTAATGAATCTCAACTAGGTAAAGGTTATTCTTTTTTTTTTCTCAACTAAATCTGACAATTATTATTTTTTCTTTTTTCTTTTTGACTAACCGTTAATTTGTGGCTCAAGGATGGGTTGAGGAGACATAATTGTGGAAAGGGATGAGAGGTTAGTGGAGAGAGAGAGAGGTGGGAAAAGTTTTTTTTTTTTTTTTTAAATTAATTAATTAATTATTTTTATTATTATTTTAACTATTTTTTTTAATAATTTTTATTTATTTTGGCTATTACAACCTTTTTGTTGTATTATCTCACAATTTGGGCCCGCAATTTGGGATGGAGCCATGGAGCTATTTATGGATTGGCGAACTTGGTCGTTTTAATTTGGATTCGTTGGGGGAATTTTGTCATTGTCGTTTGTGTTCAACGAATCTTGTCCCTCTACATCACAAACACCTTCCACATAATTCCAAATTAATGTTTCGCCAAGTGGATATATGATATTGTGCCAAACTTCTTCCTACTTGATATGAATCCAACAACTGATCACTTCCATGTACCCGAACGAGCAATTACAAGAAGTAATACAAAGAAGATTCAAGAATCAAATCAAGAAAATAATGTAGTGGCTCATATTGAAAAGTGATTAGAAGACTTGTCATTGGTAGTTGAACTACCAATTAAGACAATTTATGAATGCCTTATTTTCTTCAATTTATATTTAATAGCATTTATTAATAGTTTGTATGAATGCCTTATTTTCTTCAATTTGTATTTAATAGCATTTATTAGTGATTTGTAGTTGGTGGCTGAACCTTATTATGTTAGGGTTATCTTTTGGGCCTATTTAAAGGCACGTAATATTCATGTTTGGATGAATGGTTGAATACAGACAAAACCTTTGTGTTTTCTTGATACCCTTTTGGTGTTATTCTTTTTCAAACCTTGCTTTAGGTTTGATGTTTAAACTGATTCATTGAATTAGTTTTGATCAAGCTAATTCTGGAGTGAATTGTCTTGGTATCCAAGAGTGACCATCATAGATTCCAAGTTCGATCTAAGAGTCATTCATCTTCTAACCAGCTCTTGGTTGGAATCAATCCGTTAAGTTAGTTTTCTCTGTGAACATTTTGCAAGGATTCTAGAAGGACCTCTAGCTTTGCAAATTCCAGCATTGTAGGGGTTTATCATTTGGTATTAGAGCTTTTGGTCGACGTTCTATGGCCGCTCTAGAGGTGAAATATTTTTATTGTTATTCTTTTTGTGTTAATTTTTTTTCCTCTCTCAGATTATCGAAAAGAAAAAAAAAAGAAAAAGAAAGAAAAAAAATCAGTTATGAGAAAAAAAAAAAAATATATATATATATATATATATATATATATATATTCAGTTCTTATCATTTATTTTCAAGCTCTTGATCCTTGAGATACTAGTCTTAGCTCGTTAGAATTAATCATTGAATTGGTTATAATCAAGCTTAAAGCAAGATTGCACAAAAAAAAAAAAAACAGCCTTTACATTCTTGACCTTTGAGTGTTAAACACGAGTGTCCCTGAGTGAAATTTTTGTCAGAAGTGCAGAGAGGTCCCTTGATAACAAAATGTCACATAATGGAGAAGCAGTACCACCAATACCAGATCTTAATACAACCATTCTTCAAGCAATTCAAGGTATGATGGAAATGATGATAGAAGATAGACAAGAAAGAAGGGCTCAACAACAAAGACAAGAACGAACATTACAAGAAGATGAAGGTATAGTAGTACAAGAAAGACAAGTTGATGGTAGATGGAGAGAAAGAAATAACCATGCAACTATTATGCAACCTAGAAGGACGGAAAGAGTACATGAAGATAGAGATGGAGGAGTTAAACTCAAAATCCCACCATATTTGTGGAACGGCAGATTCTGAGGCATACTTGCAATGGGAAAGAAAGATAGAACATGTGTTTGATTGCAACACCTATAATAAAAATAAGAAGATGACACTTACTATTGCCAAATTTACCAATCATGCCGGTGATTGGTAGCTCTATAGGAGATTTATAAAAGATTTTAGCACCATAGCTGCACCATTGAATGACTTGGTGAAAAAGAATGTTGTTTTTAAATGGGGAGATATGCAAGAGAATGCATTCAATGAGCTTAAGAATGAATTAACCAATGCGCCATTACTTGTCTTGCCTAACTTTGATAAAACTTTTGAAATTGAGTGTGATGCAAGTGGTTTGGGCATAGGTGCATGTTTTGATGCAAGATGGAAAACCCATAATGTATTTTAGTGAAAAACTAAATGGGGCAGCATTGAACTATCCTATCTATGATAAAGAATTGTTTGTTTTAGTTCGCACATTGCAGGTGTGGCAACACTACTTATGGCCTAGAGAATTTGCGATCCACTCTGATCATGAAAGCTTGAAGTATCTTAAGGGTCAAAGCAAACTGAACCGTAGGCATGCAATGTGGGTGGAGTTTTTTGAAACATTTCTGTATGTCATCAAATATAAGCAAGGTAAAGATAATGTGGTAGTTGATGCATTATCTAGAAGGTACAATCTTTTTACTTCTCTCAGTGAAAAAATTCTTGGATTTGAGCATATTAAAGAATTATATCGAGATGACCAAGACTTTGGAATTATTTATGCATCTTGTCTTACAAAAATAGTTGTAGATGATTATTATGTGTTTCATGAATTCTTATTTAAGAAAAGTAAGCTTTGTATTCCTAAATGCTCTATCAAAGATTTGCTTGTAAAAGAAGCAAGAGTGGTGGCTTAATGGGACATTTTGGAATTAATAAAACTTATAATATGTTGTATGAACACTTCTTTTGGCAAAAAATGAAGCATGATGTTTATAAGTTTTGTAGTCAATGCTTTAATGCAAAGAAGCTAAATCTAGATCACAACCAAATGGATTGTACACTTCTTTGAATGTACCTAATGAACCTCAGACTAATATATCTATGGATTTTGTTCTTGGTATACCACACACTAAAAAAGGTAAAGATAGTATTTTTGTTGTGGTAGACAGACTTAGTAAGATGACTCATTTTATTGCATGTAACAAGACGAATGATGCAAAACATGTTGCTGACTTATTTTTTAGGGAAGTAGTAAGATTACATGGAATCCCTAGAATAATTGTTAGTGATAAGGGTGCTAAATTTCGAAGTCACTTTTGGAAAGTATTGTGGGGTAAATTGGGTACCAAATTGTTAGGATCGCACAACAACGCACACACTCGATCTAGATGAACACAAAGAAAAGGATAGAGAAAATTGCAAGGAGAACTCTAGCTAAAAGGATTTTTTTATTGATGATTTCAGGTATGTACAACAAGAGATAGTACAGAGAATAGAAAGTACATCTCCAAAACTTTACTCGACGAGATATATATATATATGGTTCAGTCTACTAAATATAGCTTTACCAGATTTAACCATCTACTATATATAGCTATTTACCATATATAGCTTTACCGGGTATAGCTTTACCATATATGGCTTTACCAAATATAGGTTTACCGGATATAGCCATTGACCAAGCTATAAATACAGGGAGCAGACTCCATAACTCAACAATATTCCCACTTGGAGACTGATCCTACACCATACCAATTAGGGCTTTGCATAACCTTAATTTTCCAACCTCAACATATTTTGTCAACATGTCTGCTGGATTCTTTGCACCCTCTATCTTCTCCAAACACATATCGCCTTCTTCCACTAACCTGCGAGTGAAATGGTACCGTCTTCTAATGTGTTTTGTCCTTGAATAATAGACTGGGTTTTTCACCAACTGTATGGCATTCTGACTATCTGTATGAAGGATCTTCTTACACTGCTTCCGGCCTAATTCTTCTAGATAGTCTGTCATCCATATCATCTCCTTTCCAGCTTCAGCTATGGCCACGTACTCAGCTTCAGTAGATGAAAGAGCAACGCATTTCTGAAGCTTGGACATCCAACTCACTGCTGTTCCATCTATAGTGTAAATATACCCAGATGTGCTCTTGCTGGAGTCTACATTTCCACTCAGATCAACATCCACAAAACCTTGCAGAACTACTTTACCATTGCTATAACAAAGTGTAGTATTGGATGTACCTCTCAGATATCTCAGAAGCCACTTCACAGCTTCCCAATGTTCCTTCCCTGGATTTGCCATGTACTTGCTAACAACTCCCACTGCATGTGTTATGTCAGGTCTAGTGCAGACCATAGCATACATCAAACTCCCAACTGCAGAAGCGTACGGAACTGATGCCATGTGCTCACGTTCCTCAACTGTCTTGGGAGATTGCCCCTTTGACAATTTAATATGATTTGCCAAGGGGGTAGTCCTGGGTTTAGCGTTATTCATCTTGAATTTGGACAACACCTTCTCAATGTATTGTTCTTAGGATAGATTTAATGTGCCAGCAGATCTATCTCGAGAAATCCTCATCCCAAGGATCTACTTCGCCGCACCTAAATCTTTCATCTCAAATACTGAAGACAAGCTTGCCTTCAGGTGGTTTATCTCCCTCATACTTGATCCAGCAATTAGTATATCATCCACATACAGGAGTAGAAACACATAAGAATCAGTGTATTTCTTGAGGTAGCAACACTGATCATTTTCACTTCTGTGGAAACCACTCTTGCTCATGAAGGAGTCAAACTTCTTGTACCATTGTCTCGGTGCTTGTTTCAGTCCATACAAGCTCTTATTGAGCTTACACACCATGTGCTCCTTGCCTGGAGCTGCAAACACTTCGGGTTGTTGCATATAGATCTCCTCATCTAGATCTCCATGTAAAAATGTCGTTTTTACATCCATTTGCTCAAGGTGCAAATTCTCCGATGCAACAATACTCAGCAGAATTCGGATAGTAGTTAATTTCACAACTGGAGAAAAGATCTCAACATAATCAATGCCTTTTCTTTGTGAATATCCTTTAACTACTAACCGGGCCTTAAACCTCCTTCTGCCATCTGGTTCAACCTTGATTTTGAACACCCATTTGTTCAACAGAGCTCTCTTTCCTATAGGCAACTCAGTCAACACCCACGTATTATTCCTTTCAAGTGAGCTCATCTCATCATCCATGGCTTGCTCCCACTTGAATTAATCTTCCACTTGTAGGGCCTCATCAGAGGACTCTAGTTCTCCTTCATCAGTCAGCAACAGATAATGTAATGAGGTTGAATATCTATCTGATGCTCTGGTAGTTCTGGATGATCTTCTCAACACCTTCTCAGGTGCAACTTGCTCCACGTCTGGTTCTTCAGCAATAGGATCAGGAGTTTCTTGAGCTTCTGTTGTGCCATCACTGCGTGAATTTTCTTGCCACTCAAGTTCAACTCCCACTTGCTTCGTAGTCTCAGAGTTTATCTTCTCTCTGTCCTTGTACATGACATTTTCATCAAAGGTCACATCACAGTGTCTTAGGATCTTCATATTTTTCTCATCCCAAAACCTGTACCCGAACATGTCAGAGCCATAGCCTATGAAGTAGCATTTCACGGCCTTTGCATCAAGCTTATCTCTCTTCTCTGTATCAACATGAACATACGCAGTACAACCAAAGGTTCTCAAGTGAGAGTACTTGAGTTCTTGTAATAGCCCAAAAATAAATAAATGAATAAACAAATAAAAATAACTATAAAAAAAAATAGTTAAAATAATAAAATAATAAATAAATAAATAAAAATTAAAAGAAGAAAAACATCCCGTAACCATCCCTCCTCCTTCCTTCAATCTCTCACCACTCCTTCCCTAAAAATAAATCTGGCAACAAATCACGAATCTCTTCTCTGTAAAAACAACTGCAGATTTACCCAGAATTCTTCCTTTCTACAAAAACAAATAGAAAAAGAAAACAAAAGGTTTAAGCAGACTAGCTCCGCCGGAGGAGATATGTCATTTGAAGAGGTCAGTACGTTAAATCTTCCTTTTATTTTATTAAATAATATTAATTTGGTTACAATTATTTAGTTTTGAATCAAAGATTAAATGAAAAGAATTTTGTATGAGTTTAGGAAATCAAAACCAATTATATTTTAGGTCTATTAAATTGTTGCAATGATTTAGATCTACTGAATTGTTGCAATGATTTAGGTTGTAATTTGATATGAATTATAGGAAAAGAATATAACCAAATGAATGATTAAATTAAAAGCTAAGAATATAATTGTTAACTAAATCAGAAAGAAGACAAAGGAAATAAGAAAGAATGAGATAGAGATAGAAATACAGAACACTGTTAACTGAAAAGAAAAATAATAATAAAAATAAAAAAGAAAGATTGAGAATTAGAAATAGATTAACAAAATTGAATAATACCTTCTTAAAAATAATTACAGAAGAAGAGGAAATATTGAGGAAAGATTTGTTGAACAGGATTTAAAGGTAAAATAGGAAATATTAGAATGCAGTGAGCTCCTTTAAATTTTGTCTAACACTAAATATCAGAATTTTACGATGGCCAATCTAAATTAGAGAAATAACTTTATAGAGTTCAAACTTGAAACTGATGTCATGAACTCATATAGGTTGACTCGGATTTCAAAGGATGGAATCGAACTTTCATTAAAGATATATTTGTGACAACGATTTAAGCTAGCCAGGTAAGTGACCTTACTATCGGCATGATTATTTTTTTTTTTTTGATGTTGACACGTGCCCTGTGGTTCTGCACGTGTCATATATATTGATATGTGTGAATTGTCTGTGGATCGATATGCTTCCTATATGTTACGTTATGTTATATAATATGTTGATTGTATGATAATAATTATGGTACGATGTGCTCTAGGAGATGTTTGAGATAGGATACGAGAAGGATGCACAAAACAAAATGTAACGATAGGAGTAAGATACGTTCACGAAACGTTAAGGTTAGGTTACATACCGGAGTGCTATGGATAGGAGAGATTGATGAAAGAATACGGTTAGGTTATGGGTAGAAAGGGATAGGTTTTTGATAGATTGGTAGAACGATGGCGTTAGGATACGTTTTGGTGATGATATGACTAAGGTACGTCACGTAATGATATGCCTGTGATAGGTATAAGAACGTTAAGGCTATGATAAGTTA